CAAATAGACAAACACCTTCTACCCATATTCTAAAATTATTTTATGTTCGAAATCAGCATTATTAAAAGCATATTACAGCTTACTGTGTTATTTATCTGACACTATTTCATTGTATGGTTTACATTCCACACTAGTATTTCATTTTGTATGTTGGTTTTTATATCGCACTTCAGTTTGTAAAACTTAGTTTCGAATTATCCTCGTTTTTTTTTTTTATGTTTTAATTTGTGTTTCCGTGAAAGTGTTGTGCTTTTCAGGCTTTTGCCACAGTGGAGATTGTTTTTTTTTTTAATATATAATATGTTCACTATACACTGGTGGTACATGCGTATACAAAAACATATGTCAGTCGTAACTGAGCGCGAGAGGCCGAGAGCTAGTAACGGCCCCAGAGGTAGTGTCAAGGCGGATGCAGAGCGCCACACGCGAGGTTCCACAGTGCCCCGTGTCAGAACTAGCAGTAGAAAGTAAGAATGAAGAAAGGAGGGTTTGCACTAGCAGCAGTTGGCATACATATAGGAAACCCTAATTGGGTTGTACTCGCTATAGAGTACCCCACTGCAGGCTAGACAATTATAACATTCTGACACACCCCCATAGCCAAAGTGGGGTGTAATCAGCACAGTGAGCAAGCATAGCAGTAGTTCACAATTATGAGCAAAGCTAGTGGTAGTCACAGCGGGCAAGTGAGGAGGAGGAACTGTGAAGGGAGAGAAGATTGGAGACGACGACTGAAGCTGCAAACACACGGGCAACAGGAGCGCGCACACAGTGGCTACCGGGACAGCGCCCCGGACTACTGGAGTAACAGGCTCCGCGGCTAAGACGAGCGGCAGGAGCAACGGACCCACGGGCGACAGGCGCAGCAGGCTCTCTGGGCTACCAGGACAGCGCCCCGGACTACAGGTGCTGCGGACGACAAAACGGCAGCCTCCTCTCAGCCTCCCCAAACAGTCCCACCCCCCTGACACACACCCCCTGCTTCACCCCTAACTCCACTTGCACGCCACCCCCTCGTACCACTCCGACGGCTCCAACACATCCACCCCCCTCAGCGGTAGCTGCAGCAGTGGGAGATGGAGGAGGAGGAGGAGGAGGAGGAGCAGGGGACGGCTGACAGAGACGGCACCCCCATACGCTCCACCCCCAAACCCTAATTCAGGAGCACGGGCAGCAGCAGGGGTGGGGCGTCCTCAGAAGCGCGGGGGACAGCGTGCAGCTCAAGGGAAGAGGAAACGGGGCGCCCACGGGCCTGGCGCAGCCCGTACGAACCGCGCGGGGGCGGCCCGAGGTGCGCCCTGGCCTGGCGCAGCCCGTACGGGCCGCGCGCGGGCCTGGCGCAGCCCGTACGGGCCGCGCGCAGGCTGTACGGGCCGCGCGCGGGCCCTACGAAGGTCGCGCGGGCCGCGACGGGCGACGGGGGGCGACGCGCGGGTCCCCGTCGCCCGTCGCAGCGCCTCCCGGGGGCGACGCGCGGAGTGACGGGGCAGAAATCCGTCGCACGCCACGGGGCGTGCAACACACAGAGTAGCAGTAGCAGCGGAAGCAGTGAGGTGGTGGGCCCACCCACAGGATCGACCCAGGAGGGTCGACCTGCTCTGATACCATGTCAGAACTAGCAGTAGAAAGTAAGAATGAAGAAAGGAGGGTTTGCACTAGCAGCAGTTGGCATACATATAGGAAACCCTAATTGGGTTGTACTCGCTATAGAGTACCCCACTGCAGGCTAGACAATTATAACATTCTGACACCTCGAAATTGCGGGTCCACTTCCAACCCTTCTCGTTCATGCATCGGATACGTCCAAGCAAACAGTTCTCCAAGCCCGCCAGTGCCAACGTCCTCCCTTGTCGCTTCGAACCACCGCCCTTTCCCAGCTTCCTCCCCATTGCGCAAGTGTACACTTTCACATGCAGACGAAAAGCTGCCTCAATGCGCCTGAGGACGCGCCGAGCCCGGAAACGCTTCTCTCGGAAAACACAATCACACCGCTCTGCCTATATCTGGTGCACCGCAATTGCTGCCAGCGAGGCTTCGGGGAAAGCTGAGGTGGATGCTACCTTGCCGAACAGCAAATCACCCAGGCTCTCCACTTGCCTCGCTGGATGAAGCAAACGCATGGCCCGCCTGACCGCCCTCACCACCAGCTGAATGCACGGGCAGGTGAAGAGGCAGTGCTCCAGGGTCTCAAAATCCCCACAGTGCGGGCAGACCGGCTTGCCACTTAGGAAAGAGAGTCGTTCCTTCACTTGTAGATTCAGACTGTGGATCCTTAGCAGCACGTCCCGCAGCCTGTTTGGGGTCACCAAAGAGTCCCGGATCTTAATGACCTCCTTCCAGTTTATTTCTCCTCCCCATCTGCCCGCCCACAGCTCCCTCTTCGCGGACTGATGTTTCTTCTGCTGCCAGCATCCCTTCAGCTCCCTCAGCGACGTCAGCTGCCCACCGCTGAGCACCAGGGTTCTCTGGAGGGGAGCCCTCGGAGCCGAACAGTCCCCCTCCTGTTGCTCGGCAGGCACAAGGAGCAGCTTCCAGTTCTGCAGCACTGCGTCCCATGCCCGCAACGCCAACTTCGCTTGTTTGGTACCGCCTAACTCCTTCGCCAGGAGCTTTACGTCCTTAGGCCGCCGGCCCCCCGCGCCGTCCGGGCATAGCAAGTCGCTAAGCCGGACCTCCCAAAGCTTTTCCGCCGCCTTCTGCCCTCCCACCGGAGTCCCCCCGTTTAGCAGAATATGGCGGTTGGAAACGATCCTCTCCTTCTCTGCCTCCTCCCGTGACAGCGCTGGTGATGTGCCGGCCAGCGGCGATTGCATGAAGTCGCCGCAATCCAGCTTCCATCGCTCACTCTTCCCACTCCAGCACTTCAGGAGCTTGACATGGGAGACAAAGGTGTCCAGCCCCAGCGGCAAGTCAGCAGCCTTGAGCATGATGTCCCGTTTCAGCTCGTTTGTCTCAGTGAGGAGTAGGCCGATACGCCTCGCCGTGAGACAGGTGAGGGCTATCTCCGGGTCGTTTACCCCCACTCCCCCGTCCTCTCTAGCCATGTACAGCAGCTCCTTGCTCCACAGAATGAAAGCCTTGTATACGTGGAGATTGTATACGTTGGTACAATAAACTGAAATAAGCATTCTGGAGTCTGTACATGATCTGTCAATTCTCGTTTTGCTGGGTCGATGCAGGGCGTACAGTTAGGTTGAACCGTTATGTTACCGGTTAGGCATTCCGAATGAACTGTTCATTACCATCTAGGCAATGATTGTGACGACCTAGGCACTGACGGTTACGATGGAGGCGACGGGAAGATACCTTTGTTACGATTTGGACACGTGGCTTACTTCGGGTGCGAGCAACCTCAATAAGTGTTACCGCGGAGATAAATGCCCGAATCAGAAACGTCAAGAGGATGTGGAGTGCTGGAAGTTCTGAAAAACACATCCATGCCGTCCATCCGTCGCGTGGATAAGGGCGTGTCCCATGAGTTCATTTTGGGAAAAAAGCTTTATTCTTACGTAAATTCGAGTCAGCCAAAAAGTGTACACTCTGACGAGAAAAGAACGCCACGCGTCAGCACTGCACCAATTGAAATTGCACCACGCAGACTCACAGTCCCGCCCACACACAACTCAGCATCCGAATCACAATTGACACATTCCGCTGGCGGTAACCTGCCCTTGTTGCGAGTCGATTGTGCCCTTTGTGATGTTCGCTGTTTTCGCATCATTGTGTGTTGGGCAAAATTGTTGCTTAGGGTAACAGACTACAGGACGCGGTACGCGGTGATCACACGTACCATGATAGCTGTATTTGTACTTTGAAATTCGAACCTTCGGACGTCTACAGCTCTTTAATGTGGCGCGTCATTGTGGACAAACATCTACTGTATCGTAAATTACTAGGTTACCAACTGAAATTAGGGTTACCCTCCTCGAAGTGAACTGTAAACGAACTAGTGGGACACGCCCTAAGGCATGTCCCATGAGTTCTTTTTGGGGAAAAAGCTATATTCTTACGTAAATTCGAGTCAGCCAAAAAAGTGTACACTCTGACGAGAAAAGAACGCCACGCGTCAGCACTGCACCAATCGAAATTGCACCACGCGGACTCACAGTCCCGCCCACACACAACTCAGCATCCGAATCACAATTGACACATTCCACTGGCGGTAACCTGCCCTTGTTGCGAGTCGACTGTGCCCTTTGCAACGTTCGTTGTTTTCGCATCATTGTGTGTTGGGCGAAATTGTTGCTTTGGGTAACGGACTGCAGGACGCGGTACGAGGTGATCACACGTACCATGGCAGCTGTATTTGTACGTGTGAAATTCGAACCATCGGACGTCTACAGCTCTTAAATGTGGTGCGTCATTGTGGACAAACATCTACTGTATCGTAAATTACTAGGTTACCAGTGGAAATTAGGGTTACCCTCCTCGAAGTGAACTGTAAACGAACTCGTAGGACACGCCCTAAATTTGGGGATGTCATGTTATCCGATGGAGGTCCGACCAAACGTGGGATATGACGGACATCGGCGACCCGCGGTAGGGTGGTGTGGACGAGGTTCGGTGTCCAAACGCACCTGGCGCGCTGTTCGGACATGTCAAGATGAGATTTCCGCCAACCGCTGCATCGTGGCGAACAATGTATGACGGCGCGCATTCGAAGTTTGGCGAACCCCACGAATGGAAGTTTCTCAATTTCGGCTGCACTTGTAAGCTGTTGTTATCCTAGACCTGCAAGGGAAAGGCAGCTCTTTTTATTTTGCGACCTCAATTCGTTTGGCGCTGTCAGCAAGCCATCCCTCATCTTCCTCCTCGCAGCCTGGTGAGCACGACTGGCTATGAGGGTTGCTGCTTCTGCTGGCCGTGATCAGAGAACTGCATTATGCGATTTCATATTTTATTTCTTTCCTTCCTTCACTTTGGTTGATGCCCTTCCACAGTGAACATCGTTCAGCATGGCCGACACGCAGGCTGTTGTGATCGACAACGGATCCGGCATAATGAAGGTGAGTAGCATTGGCATGGTCAATTTATCATGCTCGTTTCGGTCTAATGCACTGTGAGCCTTTTCTTCCAGGCCGGGATCGCTGGAGATAATGAGCCGCGTGCTGTGTTTCCCAGCATTGTTGGTCGTCGTCGCGACAAAAATGATGGTCGCGTGGGGCGATCGGATAAGGATGCTTACGTTGGTTATGAAGGCCTGGCCAAGCGTGGAGTCATGACGCTGAAGTATCCTATCGAGCACGGTGAGATTAGCTTCGCTGATGAATAAATGCGCACACTTGCCAGTCGTTATTCTTCTCCGCCGTGACCTTCGCGTGTTTTGACGTTCCAGGTATTGTGACGAACTGGGATGACATGGAGAAGGTTTGGCAATACATCTTCTACGATGAGCTTCGTGTCACTCCAGAGGAGCAACCGGTGCTTCTGACTGAAGCTCCTATGAATCCCAAGCAGAATCGCGAGAAGATGACGCAGATTATGTTTGAGACTTTCAACGTGCCGGCGACGTATGTCGCCATTCAGGCCGTGCTCTCCTTATACGCCAGCGGTAATACCACTGGTAAGTTATGGCTTGTTTCTCCGTGCACTCGCATTTTCAATGTGTTTCCGCTTCTAATATCCTGCTTTGGTTTCAGGCATTGTTCTGGAATCCGGTGATGGTGTGACCCACGCTGTCCCCATCCACGAGGGTTACGCTCTGCCCGACGCCACTCTCCGTTTGGACCTTGCTGGTCGAGATTTGACTGATTACCTGGTTAAGCTCTTAGGTGACAGGGGTTACTCCTTCTCCTCATCCGCCGAGCGGGAAACAGTGAGGGACATCAAGGAGCGGCTAGGTTACGTTGCTATTGACTTCGAGCAGGAGATGGCGACTGTAGAGGGCTCGTCGACACTGGAGAAGAGTTATGAGCTTCCTGATGGCCAGGTTATTACCGTCGGTTCTGAGCGTTTTAGGTGCCCAGAAGCGCTCTTTAACCCGTTGCTGGTTAGTAAGGAATTTCCAAGTATCCACCAGATTGTCAACGACAGCATCATGAAGTGTGACGAAGGTATCAGGCGGAATTTGTACAGCAACATTGTTCTCAGCGGCGGTACCACTTTGATCCCTGGAATCTCTGAGCGCATAACCAAGGAAGTGACTCAGCTGGCTCCAGCCAACTACGTTAAGGTGGTTGCTCCACCTGAGCGGAAGTACAGTGCCTGGATTGGCGGATCCATGTATGCGGCTCTGAGCACCTTCCAGCAGGTATGGGTTTTCTGCATTTTCTATTGCTCTATGCCTTCCTTGATTCAGTGCGCTGACATGCTTCCTTCGCTAATGCAGATGTGTATTACGAAGAGTGAGTTTGAGGAAGTTGGTCCATCCATTGTTCACACGAAGTGCTCCAAGTTGTGTACTTAGGTACCTCTTGTTCAGACGGAACCCGTTTGAGGGAGCATGGGTGCCCTGCTTTCACATTTGAAGTTCCTATGCAGGAACTGCAAAGACTCAAGGTACCTACTACCTACCGGTACCTCTGTATGACTGCTGCTTAGTGTTTCCCTCATGGCATTCTAATACAGTGGAATCTTTGCTGTGCCGGTAACATCCCTCCCTACTTGCAACCACTTGTGAAAAGGTACCGGTAATTTTCTGAATGATTCGTCTAGGGGAGCTCCCAAATGTACCACAGCAAAATCAGGGTGGAGAAGTGGTAGTTCGTAAATACGGTACAAGGGAAGCTGTCAGGTAGCTACTGTGTAATGTCCAGATGTGGACGTTACTTACCTGACAACACAACCAGATTGTCAGTCTCTATAAAGGCCCCGATTGTGGACCATTTAGTTTGGTCATAACAACTTTGGACAAGGAGGGCTTCCACAACGCGCGCCACAAAATTTCAGGTAGCATGATAACACGGATCAAACGCTGCCTCGGCTTCCCGACCACAAACCCCGCACAACGCAACGCTAGCGCTTTGAAAGAAAAGTACGTTTGACGACTCTTCACTAGTCTGTCCAAATGGCGCGTCGAAAACTCTCGGAGCAGCCGCTCGGCGACGGCTCGCGAAGTGTGCGAACGAGATCCATGTCGCGAGGAGTTGCTGGGAGCCGTACGACGCCACCCATAGCTTCCCTTCAAGAAGCAGCGGACGACACAGACGGCGCCGAGCACACTCACAGGGATGCACCGCTTCTTACCGCTTTGAACGGCGATGAGTTGGACCGATCGGATGGCCATGAACGGCCTGATGAACTTGCCGTGGGACGCATCCCTAGACGGCTTGTAGATCGTACGGCTGATCTTTCTGCGGATGCCACTATTGCCGATCATCGTACGGCTGGCGATAGCGCTACAGCTGGGACGGATTCTGGACATGCTAGCGCTGTCTCGGAACACGTCGACGGAGGCGGTGCCAGCGTGGATGCGGGTGACGTGGCACGCCGTCGATTTCTTTCGATCGCACGGCAGAGGGCCGCCCATTTTGCCCATTTCGATGACTCTTCCCGCCTGACCTCCGCTCGCCGCACCGGTGCGGGCGAAACCTCTCCCGTCGCCAGCGCTTCCCCCCCCTCCGCTTCCGCGCAGAGGCGGCAGAGGCGGCGGGATGGCCCCGCGCTGCTGCTGGTGGTGGGCGGCGTGGCGGCGGAGCTGGCCGTGGCGAGGGGGACCTGCACCGCGCGCTCTTGACCTGCGATGCTGCTAAGGTGGAGGTGAGCGCGCTGACTGCGCTCTGCGCCTGGGTGTATCATGTACCTCGTGTTGGGTGGGGAAAGCGGGGTGAGATGAGGTGATGAGAAGTGAGCAGGAATGTCAGCTTGTGCTCGTTGAGGTGAGATGAGGTTTTTAGAACTCGTTAATCTGCATGGCTGTCTAGTCTGTCTGAGGCTCATGTGACGGGTGCTCTTTAGAGGCTGTGGTGTCTGTCCAGAATTGTACTTGATTCGTACACACACTTCACTTATAGACTAGCGACGTTATAGGACGTTTGTACTGAATCTCTTTAGCATGAGAAGTCAAAGTCACCTGCTTACTGAGGGTAAGCCGTGGGTGAATCTGGGTCGTGCATTTGTCTGTCGGAACAATCAGGTGGCGCGTTTACGCTTCAAAAAGTGGCCCTCTTCGACTCTGCCACTCCCTCCTCTCCCTTCTTTGGAAGGCACCTGTTGTCTCTCGCGGCTGTGCTGGCACCACCATCACTGTATACCGTCATCCGCTCCCCACTTAACCCGTTTCTCCTCCCACCTTCCTTCCCTCGTTCCGTTTCTTTCTCTCCCATCTTCCTCCCCTCTACCCTTCATTCTCGCCAGCCCCCTTTCCCCATCTCCTGGCTCCTCCCCACCAACCCTTCTCTCTCCCCCTTGTATTTCATCCGTCCCTTCGTGTGTTTTTCCCAAGAGACCTCAAGAACAGACTCCGCCTAACTTCTCATCCCCCCCCTTCCCTCCCCTCCCTCCCTCCCCATGCCCCCCACCCGTGGCAGCGCGTGCATCTCTCCATGCGTGGCCGCAGTCTCTTTGACGCCTGCCTCACCACCACCCTCCTACACGCACGCACGCACGCACGCACGCACGCACGCACGCACGCACGCACGCACGCAAGTTCACGTGCACACGTGTGAACATGCGTGCGTGCACAGAGGGCGTGGGAGGCACGAGCAGCATGGTGAGGGGTGGGTGGGGTGAGGAACAAGAGCTGTGGCAATGGAACTTGGTGCACGATTGGTTCACGGTGGGCCCAACAGAAGATGCGCGCAGAGCAGCACAGCAAGGGCACCGCGCAGCCCCACAGCCACACATCCCCGCGTCCCCGCATAGCACCACGTGGCCGCGCACTGCTGCCCTGGCTCGCGAGAATCGGCTCACTACCTAGCAGTACGGGGAGCGGAGAGTGGGAATGGGTGTGGGCAGTGGGAAGCGGGGATAGAAGAGGCGGGAGTGGGGACTGGGGAGCGCAGCTAGTGCGGAAGGACATGGCGCAGACCTGCATGAGCAGCCCCAGCTGAAGCCTTTGCCCCACAGCGCCTGCCCTGCTGCCGTCACCGCGCCCACCAAGTTGCCGCCTGCATCCCCGCCTCCATCACCCGCACTGCTGGAAATCACGGAAATGGAGAGTTGGCGGCATGAACAGAACGGCGGGGGGTTGAAGAAACGAGAGAAGAGGGGAAGGGGAGGGAGAGGAAGTGGGGGAGGAGGGGGGTGTGGATGGGGTGGGGGAATCCTATGAGTGAGAGCAACTGATGGCAGGGGAGTTGAGGGCTGGCAGAAACCATGGACGCTGAGAAGTACCGGTGTGCTTCCCGCTAGCGCGACCCATCGCGGCGTCTTACTGGTACCTGCACGCCGAGCATTTCACAACTCCGCGCACACGCCGAGTCGGTTGTAATGGCCCGCAACGAGTGTTGTAAGGACGTGTGGTTCTTCCGGGAACTGCGGAGTTGGCGCAATGGATGTCGGCCGAGACGGCGGATGACCAGGCGAGCGTGTGAGAGAAGGGTGGCGCGAGAAGCCTGTCCGTCCATGGCGACAGTATAGCGACGAGTGGCGACGAGCAGGGCTGACGTTTCAAATTTAGGCACTCTGATTCCAACCCCCAAAAAAAATTTCCACTCTGAAGGCACTTCGGCCAGAAATTAGGCACTCTGATTGGTCAGTGTTCTAAAATCCCGCGTGTCTGACCAGTCAGTGTCGGTGGGTCCGCATCAGGGTTAGTCCTCGTGCACACCGCTGCCCGGCCCATGTCGGTGGCACCCTCGACTAGCTGGTGTGAATGGCGTGTGACTCGGCAGATTGTTGCAGCAGGCAGCGCGCATTTTGTGTACCTTGCTTGCACGTGACAACTGGCCGAGCTGCTGCAAAGATGAGCTGGCACGAACTGTTACACGCGCCTGGCAATAACTTCTACCTACGAAACAGTCACGATATAACACATTTTTGCGCGGAGAACACCCGATTTCAGTACAAAAAAGTATGATATCCTACCTGTGGCGAGATATCCCCCCCCCCCACCCCCCACCTCCCCCCGATTGTCTGTAAAGTTCTCCGATTCGTTGAGCGATTCGCTAGAAAAAACGAATTTTGGCCCGTTTCTATTTCACACTTCAACGGTTACCCCAATCACGCAACAATCTAAATGCATGTCTTTGTCGCAGATAGAGTGTATTCGGTATCCCTGGCTGGTGAAGTGTACGTTGCTCGTGTGGGAGCACTCTCTGCCAACTCGAAGGTGGGTACATCGGGAGGAAATTTCCAGGAAACTTCGTCTCGATAAACTCGCATCCAAGGACCACAGAATGTAGACTCTGTAGAGTCAGACTCCAGAAACGATAAGTCTGAAGCCTATTACATGGAATCAGGGGCCCTAAAACGATAAGTCTGAGGCACTCAGTGATGAAAAATGGACTACTCTGGAAATACATTTTCCACAAAGTGCAAGGTCTGATTCGTCAGACTAATCAGACTAAATAGTCTGATAGCGTCAGCCCTGGCGACGAGTAGCGATGGGCACACAAGACAAAGCGCATGCATCTTACAATGTCTGCCAAACCTTGAGTTCTAGGTCAGAGATTGGATAGGGCGCATCTGCACCTCCTTGTTCTTACGGTATTTTTCTGCCATAGTTGAGATTTTGTGTTTGTTATTCCACGTACTATTGATCAGAAAGATAGGCATTCTTTTTCTACAACTCTATATCCTTTGTGGCTTCAACGTCACGCCATTTGATTTTCTTTCCGCTGGAAAACTACAATTACTCTGGTGCATTGCGGTCCACCGTGGTCCTTGATGGGAGGGCTTGATGGTGTTTTAAATGTGTGTGCTATTGGGGTTTTCTTGGGGTTGTGTGTGCTGCTTTTTCTTCCTTCTTCCCTGTTTTTCTTCCTCCTATCATTTTTCCCCTATTCCCCTCCTTTCTTCCTCTCTCCTTTTTTCTACTCACGTTATTCCTCCTTTTCTCCTCTCTTCCCGTTTCCACTCCTTTTCCTTGCGTAATTATGCTACGTTGTAACAGATAGTACCTCGATTGCTATTCAGTGGTCATGGGACACGCCTCGCAAGCACCTCCACCTTGCCCTTTTGACAGTCAAGACCCAAGATTCGGAGGAAATGACGAACCGCCCCGGTTTCGGATTTCCGATTCCTTTGGGCAGTGGCTTTGACACCGCCTCGCTTTTCCGCTCGCGTCCGATTCCTTGGGACAGCTAATTTCGACATTTCCAGTTTCCGGTGACCAGAAAATTATTAAGTTTACCTGGTATTAGTCTAGTGGCCAGTGAAAAAAAAAACCCCTTTCGGAGGGCTGGCCATTAGGGAGGCATCAACCCTAAACACCTTGCCTCATGGTATTTAGGGTTGATGCCTCCCTAACAGCGACCCCCCCATGAGGGGTTTATATTTTTTGTCCCATTAAATAAAACAAAGTTGTAGTTTCTGGACTCCAAATGGGAAAATAGCGTAATTTACTGACCGAAGGTATCGGACGCGAGCGCGAAGCGAGGCGCTGTCAAAACCACTGCCCAAAGGAATCGGAAACCCGAAACCAGGGCGCTTAGTCATTCCCTCCAAGATTCGACTCCTTTGTGGTTGTCTTCGAGCAAGATTCATTTCCCTCTCGATCAGTGAAGTACTGTTGTCTACTTGGGACTAATAGCTGAATCTATACAAATCGAGCACAAAAGGGTTAGCGTTCCTGGTTCTCGAACAATCAGAGACGCATCACACTATCCTGTCGGACCATGGCGCGGCGAAAACCCTCGGAGCAGCCGCTCGACGACGGCTCGCGACGTGTGCGAACGAGATCCATGTCGCGAGGAGTCGCTGGCAGCCGTGCGACTGCGACGCCACCCAGAGCTTCCCTTGAAGAACCAACGAACGACGGCGAGCGCACTCCCAGGGATGCACCGCTTCTAACCGCTCTGAACGGCGATGAATCCGATCGAGCGCATGGCGATGAACGGCCGGATGAGCTTGCCGAGGGAAGCGTCCGTAGAAGGCATGTAGATCGTACGGTTGATGATTCTGCGGATGACATTATCGTTGTAGATAGTCCTACATCTGGCACAGATTCCAGGCGCGCTGGCGCTGTCGACGGAGGCGGTGCCAGCGTGGATGCGGGTGACGTGGCACGCCGTCGATTTCTTTCGATCGCACGGCAGAGGGCCGCCCATTTCGCCCACTTCGATGATTCTTCCCGCCTCTCCTCCGCTCGCCGCACGGCCCCGCGCGAAACCTCTCCCGTCGCCGGCGCTTCCGCCCCCTCCGCTTCCGCCGAGGCTGCCGCAACCGCGGGGGAGCGAGGGGGTCGGGTGCGACGCATCGGCGGGGAGGCGCGTGGGCCGGGGGAGGCGGAGCAGTGGCCAGGCCCGTTCGCCACTGCGCGGCAGCTGGTGCGCGGAAGAGCCGCGGCTGCCGCCGCCAGGCAGGCGCAAGGGGGCGGGGGGGCGCGCACAGGGGAAAGCGCAGGGGAGCGGGTGGGCGGTGAAAGCATCGCGCAAGGCAGCGAGGCAGGGGCGACCCGTGCCCGCGGAACAGGAACCACAGGCACTGTTTCCAGCACCGTTCCAGCTGGGGTAGCTGTATCATGGACTCCCAAATCGCAATCGCAGAGAGAAACGGGAGGAGGGGGAACGGACCACAGAAGCGGGGGCGGAGGGAGCGGAAGAGCCCCCCGCAGCCTGTACTCGCTGTGCCTGCACGTGGTATCAGAGCACATAGAGGCGCTGGAGTCACTGGAGGGTGTTCCGGACGGTGTGCGGCGCGACCTGAGTGCGTGCCTGAGCGCGCTGAGGCGGCTGGACGGGCGCGCGCTGGCGCTGCTGGTGGGCGGCGTGGCGGCGGAGCTGGCCGTGGCGGACTGCTCGCTGGTGGGCGAGGCGGACCTGCACCGCGCACTCACCATGTGCGACCCTGCCAAGCTGGAGGTGCGATGAAGGTGCACGTGCGCAGCGCTCTACGCCAGGATGTATCGTGTGCCTCGTGTGGCGTGGGTGATGTGACGTGTGCTCGTAGAGGCCTTGGTGTCTGTCTAGGATTGTGCGTCATTCGTACACACACTTCACCTATAGACTAGCGCAGTTCCATGACGGTTTTGCTGAATCTCTTTAGCATGGGAAGTCAAAACCGCCTTCGTGCTGAGGGTCGAGTCTCTTGAGCGGTGGGTGAATCAAGGAGTTGCTTTTGTCTGTCTGGACAATCAGGAGGGCCCATTCAACCCTGCGACTCCCTCCACTCCTATGCGACTGTTGTCTTTCGCGACTGTGCTTGCACCACCATCACTGCATACCGTCCTCCTCTCCCCTCTCAACCCTTTTTTTTCCTCCCTCCTCCCTTCCCTCGTTCCACTTTTTTCCCTCCCATCCTCCTCCCCTCTACCCTTCATCCCTAGCTCATCCCCAACCCCCGCCCCCTCTCCCCCCCTTGTATCACCTCCGTCCTTCCCTGTGTGTAAAAAACTCCGCCTAACTTCTCATCGCACCCACCTCTCCCCCCCTCCCTCCCTCTCCCCCCTTCCCCTCCCCCCACCCACCCTCCTGCAGCTCGTGCATCTCTCCATGTGTGGTCGCAGTCTCTCAGACACCTGTCTCACCTCCACCCTCCTGCGCGCCCCAGCCTCTCTCCCCGCCCTGCGCTCCCTCTCTCTGCAAGGCGCCTACCGCCTCTCCGATGCCGCCCTCCCCCCGCTCGCCCTCGCCGCCCCCTCCCTCGCGCACCTCTCCCTCCTCCACTGCCCGCTCCTCTCCTCCCCAGCAGTATCCACCCTGCTCTCCTCGCTCGCCTCCTCACTGAAAACCCTTCGCTTGGACGGGTGCAGTCAGCTGAATGCCCGCGCGCTGCTGCCGGGGCTCAAGGCGTTGACAGGCCTGACCTGCCTGTCGCTAGCAGGGGTGCCGTCAGTGACAGATGCCGTGCTGGCTGACCTGCTGCCGGCTGTGGGGGGACACCTCAAGGAGCTGTCACTGGCACACTGCGAGTAAGATGCTGCTTCTATGTTGCATACTTAGTTGGGTCTTCAGGGCTTAGATGTTGCTTCTGCAGTTGCCCCTACCATTGCGATGCTAAGGCCCATTCAATCAGTAACCTGTAGTGGCCCCCACTACCATTCTCACTACCTCTTCGCTACCCTCAAGTTGCCTGCTTCATCGACTTTCACGCCACTGTGAATGGCGCCGCTTCCAATGCCCATAGCTCCTCTCCTCCCTCTTAGCCCTTGCTGCGTGGCCTCTATTATATTCCCTTCCACTCCTTCTGCTCTCTCTCTCTCTCTCCCTGCCATCGCAGGGCTGTCACAGACGAATCAGTGGCAGCGGCAGCAGCCCACGCACCGTCACTAACCGCTCTGGACCTCTCCCACCTGCCGCTACTCTCTGACAACGCCCTCCACTCCCTGTGCTCTGCCCAACTCAAGCTGCGATCGCTCAACCTCACCCGAACCAACTTCAGGTCAGCACCTGGATTTGTCGCGTCAAGTCTCCTCCCTTGCTCCCTCCCTCTCTCACTCCCTCGATCCGTCAATACCCTTCCTCCCTTTCTCCCTCCCTCTCTCCCTCCCTCCCTCCCTCCCTCCCTCCCTCCCTCCCTCCCTCCCTCCCTCCCTCCCTCCCTCCCTCCCTCCCTCCCTCCCTCCGTTCCTGCCTCCCTCCTCCTCTCCGTACCTCCCGCAATTCCCGCCGAAGATAGTTAACTAGCTGTCCTTATCCAATCGCCCAAGCTCTAGTTCTCCCGTCCCTCTTACTTCCCCACTCCTTCTGCCCCTCCTCCCGCCCTCTGGCATCCCATCCTCCCCAGTGACTCAGCGCTCGCGTCTCTCATCCAGTCCTCAGGCGCTGCCCTGCACACCCTCTCAGTCAACGCCGTCTATGAGGTGAGTCTACGCTCACCACAATCATATCGGTCAACGCAGTCTGTCAGGTGCCTGTTAGTCAACACAGCAGATGTAGTCAAGGCGATCTCTGAGGTGAGTCCAAGTCAACGCAGTCAGTTCAGTCAACGCAGTTAGTTCAGTCAACGCAGTCAGTTCAGTCAACGCAGTCAACAGCAGGCTGCCTGTTCACCTCTCTGCCCTGCTGTTCCCACAACTTCCTGTAATGATTGCTCCTGCCTTTTATCATGTCTCACCACTCCCCTGCTCGCACTCTCTGATCACACAACCCCCTCCTTCCCTCCCTCCTTCCCTCCCTGCCATCTCCCCCGCCTCACAGGCAGCGGACGGGCTGCTGGTCGCGCTAGCGTGCAGTGCACACGAGTCACTGCAGGCTCTCGATGTGTCCTGGTGTCGCTCCATGTCTGACCACGGCCTTGGCCTGCTCGCTGACTCCTGCCCCAACCTCTCCCGCCTCTGCCTCTACGGCTGCTCCCAGGTCAACCTCACGTGCTTTTTACGGTAGTTCCGTTTGAGAGTTCGCCACATTTTTTTTTTTTTTTTTTTTTTTTTTTTTTTTTTTAGTTATTTGGTGTCGGTCCAGCTCTCTTCCCCATGCTGGAATGCTCGGGTTTCGTCCCCCCTTCCCCTCCCCCCTCCCTCCCCCCTCCCCCCTCCCCCTCCCCCCCCCCACCCCCATCCCCCCTGCCCTGCCCCTCCTTTTTTATTTTTGCGATTCTCTGCATTTATGTGTGTTGGCATTGGCTTTCAGGTGTCTGATGTGTTTTACCTCGGCCACAGTAACACCAGTCTGCAGCTCGTTGGTCAAGTAGGGATGGTGATAAATTGACAATGGTGTTGTGTCGGAGCCATGCATTTTTATCTCTAGGAACTATAAATGGATGGACCATTTGGGGACAGGTACTCAATGGACACGGAACAGAGCGATAAGTCACTTATGCCGACTGGTAACGGGCTTTTCCACGCTCTTCAGTTTTTTAGTGGTGAAAATTCGGCTCATTCCTATCCAACATCATGCTACGTATCGCGGTGCAAAAAGAAGAGGATCACGTGTACCCTTCTCTTGACTTGTCGCCTGCCACTTCGTCGTACCTTCGCGGTTGCTGCTTTCTTCCACGACGTGGAGCGTTTGTCTGGGGGATCGTAAAATCGGGTAAATGCCAGTTTGTGCACTCGGAAACAAAATTTGCAACAGTCATATTGCCGGAATCCTTGGAAACCACTGACATCACAATTGGGAAAGTGGAAAACAACACTCTGCATGGGAAAGTGTGCGCTTTGCCAACAAGCCAGTGCATAAAGAAACTTTAGGGCGGGTGCATCATGCAATTTTGCGGGATCGCGATCCCAAGCGATCCTTGCTATAGTGTTTTGTCTTTAGCGTACAGTGTTTACTGTAGCGATGCTGCACCACGACCCCAGGGGTTTGCTACACCAACCACCCAATACCCTCGACCACGCGGGATCTGAGAGCCTGCGATCACACGCGATCAAGGGTTGAAGGTGCACCACGTGCACACCGATCCTTGTTCGCGAAATATTTTAGTCGCCTAACAACGAAACGAATCAAAAGCGAGGTACAAAACGAAAAGGTTACGAAATCAACTTTGAAACCAAACTGCACATGCGACGCCTTGACCGCGTCTGATTGGTGGTTGGGGATCGAGTGCCGATGGTGCATCATACGGGGGTGCCGTCGGGCCGTATGGGATCCCGAGCACAACCAACCCCACGGGATTCCACAGGGTTGCGGTACTAGCATCGCGATCAGGGAGCGATCATGCAAATTCAGCATGATGCACCCCGCCTGGTTTCGCCAATGCTGCCACCAGACCAATCCGAATCTGCCGTGCCTACGGGCCACAGTGCATCCACTTGGGTTGGGCAGCGGGCATCCCTCCACGATTCCCGCATCTATCCATCCTCTCCCCTTCCCTTCCTTCGCCTTCACGCCATCTCCCATTCCATCCGTTTCAAGTTTCAACAACCCAAACCAAAGCAGATGGGCTGCTGCGGGTGGTGCGGGGGCACAGCAGGGCTGACGGGACGGTAGGATGTCGTAGTGGCCGTTTTTAGGGACTCCAAGTGGAAATCGGACATTGTGCGCGCAAGGTTTGGGAAGCGCTAACGTCGAGAGTTGTATTTGTAACAGCACGGAGGTCGCACAGAGGTCGCAAGGCGGTCACACAGTCGCACGAAAGGCCGCAGGAAACTCGCATGGTGTAATGGCGTCGTCGTGGGCTCAGCACGCACCCCTATTCGGCGCGCACTGCAACCAATTCCCGGTGGAGCAATGTCCGCTTGGCGCGCAGGTCGTCGCTGCGCCATTTTCGCATCAGTCGCCGTCCCCGTCGTTTGTTCATCACCATTCTCGCCAGCAGCACGACTCTGCGACGTTATGCGACGAAAATCCGTCGCTTGATTTATTCGCGGAGGCAGCGGAGTTCTTAAGCCTCCTGGACGCCATCACGCCGGACGACTCGCAGTCAAACGGGACTCCCATCGGCAGCACCGATTCACAGCAGCATCGCGATGCTAACTTTTTGCACCACCAGCACCAGCAGCAGCAGCACCAGCAGCAGCAGCAGCGCCAGCAGTTGTCGTCCGCACCATTTTCACCTCCCGCCTCCGCCGCCGATCCAGCCACGCCCATTTCCGTTTCCGCAAGCGGCGGTTCCGCTTCTCTTTCCGCAGCGCCAGATGAGTCGGTTGGCGGCGGCGGTGCTATGACCGCAGCAGCGGCACTGGCGAACCCCGTGTCCCCGCGGCATGGCGATTCGTCGTTGAACGAGCTGGGTTTATTCAGATCGTTGGAAGCAGCGTGTGCGACGGAGGTGAGTCACTACGAGGCTGCAGCGTGCACGGCGGCGGGGGGCAGTGGCGGTCCCTCCGACGATCCTATCGACGCGTTTCTCGGCACCCTGCTGCTCGCGAATCCGGAATGCGGGGGAGGCGATGCGCGCGCTGCGCCATGCCCGCCCGCCTCTGTGGCTCGCGATCATGATCCGCCGCTGCAAGGCGCGGCGGAAACGCGGGCGCAGCAGCAGCAGCAGCTTGTGATAACGACGCCAGAAGGGAACGAGGCGTTGCATGAGTGGGTGCCTTGTCTGCCGATGCATGTGCGATCAGGGAGCGAGGGCGAACCAGCATGTGCGGGGACTGGCTGGAGTGACAGCGCGGTGGGGGAAATGAGCATGGGCGGAAGCAAGGCGGGCGGAATGGGCGTTGCGGAAGACAATGCGCAGCAGGTGGAGGAGGGTTCAGCGCCGCCTGTGGCGCTCACAGGCGCGGATCTCTTTGGTGCGGCTCGTGTGGAGGGAAGTGGTGTGGGAAGTGGGGCGACAAGCAGGGAGCAGAGCGAGGATAGTGCGAGTGGCGAGGGCAATGCTGCTGTTGCTGATGCTGATGATTTTTTGGGTGCTGCTATTGCTGGTGTGTGGGGGAAACAGCAGGCGGGCGAGCTGCTGGTCGCACAGCAACAACAGCAGGGTAAGAATAATTCGAGTAACAATGTGAATAGTGTTAGCAGTCATAGCAGTGATGGAAATAGTCAGCAGCAGCAGGAGCAGCAGCAGCAGCAGCAGCAAGCGGTGAGTGGGAGCACCCCACGTGCGCGGCAGTTGCCCAATCTGTCAGGGCGACTGGCGGCCCTTATTAGCCAAATAAGCCACGCCACCACCGCCAAGGCGAAGCGCAGGGCGGGTCATGACGCTGCAACAACAGCAGCAGGGCATGCGAGGCCAGCAGGCATGGGGCCCGGGCACAGTCCGGCAGGGGGAATGATGAAGATGCACGAGCAGGCCGGTGTAGCAGATGGCTCGGAGGAGAGAGGGCGAGAGAGTGTCTTGGGTGTGCATGGGCGAGTGAGAGGCGGTGATGGGGGTAGACTTGCTTATGGGCGTGGTGGGGGCGGTGGTGCGCAGGAGGCGCACGGCGAGGAGTCCGGCAGCAAGCGGCGGGCAGTGCAGGGGCGGGAAGGGGCACCGGGGCTCACAGCAGCAGAGCGGATAGCGTGGCAGGTTCCCCCCTCTGCAGCACTCAGCAATCAGCACCCTGCTGCTCCCACTGCGACACCTGCCTTCCCTCCTAAGCCCACTACTGGTGCTGCTGCTGCCGCTGCAGCATCAACAGGAGCCGGTGCTGCAGTGGTGCCATCCGTACCCCACGCGTGGGTCCTGGCAGGCGCGGGTCCAGACGGCCTGGCAGGAGAGGTGGATCCGTTTGTCCTCGCGGAGCACATCAGCCGCTGTGCGCCTGCGCTCGCCCTCGCCCCCGCCATGCTCGCTGCCCCGCACGACCCCCTTGCCGCCCTGCACCTGCAGCCGCCCTCTCTCGCTGCGGTTCCGTACACACGAGCTTCCTCCCAGGCGCTCCCAGTTGCATCGGCCTCTCATTCCCTCGCGTACCACTCTCTGCTGTCCGGTGCTGCTGCCATCAGCAGCAGACTAACGGGTGCTTTTGCATCAGTGCACATACCCATGCCCGTGCCTGTGCCCACGTCCATGCCCATGCCCGTGCATTTGTCCTTTTCCATGCCCGCGCATGAGGCGATGGCCATGGCAGTGCCTCGGCCTGTGCGGGGGCGCGTGCACAAGGGCAAGAGCGATGTGGGCATGGACGAGGTGAAGCAGCTCGTGCTCGCCCTCGCTGAAGCCATCGCCACCAAAGACATGGTCAGTGCCCGCTGCTCACTACTCCCACCTCCTCCCTCCCTCCCTCCCTCCCTCCCTCCCTCCCTCCCTCCCTCCCTCCCTCCCTCCCTCCCTCCCTCCCTCCCTCCCTCCCTCCCTCCCTTCCGGCCTCCCTCCCCCCCTCCTCTCCCTCCGTTCTCTCACCACTCCATCCCCTCGTCCCCTCCATCCCAATCCTGCCCTACCTCAACCCCTTCTCTCTCCTTCTGCTGGCCCAACTTCCTACCCCTCATCTCCCCTGTTCCCCATCCACGTCCCCTTAAAAGCCTACATTCACCTTCGCCCCTCACACCCCTCACACCCCCCTTTCTCCCCCACCCCACACACCGCCGTGCGTCCCTCACTGTGCAGGAGCGGGTGGCAGGGTTGCGGGCGCGCGTGGCAGCAGCAGCGTGTGCGGAGGGGCGGCCGGGGCAGCGAGTGGCGCACTGCTTCCTGGACGCCCTCACCACCCGCCTGCACGGCACCGGCGCTCTCCGCCTCTACAACGCTGCCTTCACCTCGCAGGTACTCTACTCCCCCGCCCGCACGCTAGGCCCTGCCGGGGAAGCTTCAAGCGCGCGCGCAGCACCATGCACCAAGCGCCAGAGTGCCAAGCGCACGCGTGTGGCCACTTTACTGGGATGTGCCTGGCTGCTGTGGTGTGTGTGGGGTGCTGCGGGGCGCGGTAGCGTGTGGGGCGCGCAGGGGCTGTGAATGTGGCGGGCTAGGTTCTCTTCGCCCCACATGCACGTGTGGTGGCTTTGTCAGTTATTATCAGGCTGTGCAGCGGAGATGAATGGTGGTGCAGTGCTGGTGAGGTATAGGGAATGTTGTGCTTGTGATCTTGGGGTGTGTGGCGTCATCAGTTCCCTTTTCTCGACAAACCATCCTTCTTATCTCCCCATCCCTTCCGCCTCCCCTCCTCATCCCCTCGCCCTCCTCTCCCGCCTCCCCCCTGCTACCAGCCATCCACTCGGTTGTCCCCCCCGTTCACCTCTCCTTCCTGTCCCTTGCTTTCACCGCTCACCTAAACCTCCTGGTTTTCATTTCACACTTGCCCCATCGTCACCCCGGTCCTCTAGACTCCCTGTCGCGTGCCTCACTCCCCTACCCAATGCCTGCCATCTCGCTCGATCTTCTCTCTCGTTCCAACCCCTTGTCCCGTGTCCACCCACCACATGATCGCCCCGTCCCCCTGCGCTCTCCCCCCTTTGCTTCCCAGGACATGCTGCAGTCGCGCCAAGTGTACTTCACCACCACGCCCTTCATCGCCTTCCTCTACGCCACCGCCTATTCCGCCATCCTGCATACGCTCTCCCGCTCATCTCGCTGCTCCCCTTGCACTGCCGTCGCCACCACCACCGCTCGCTCTCCTGCTTTTGATGCCTGCAGTCCTCTCGGTACCCCCTTGTGTTCCTTATTCACCACGGATCCTGTTGCTGCCAGCACCAGCAGCAGCAGCCACTGCAGCAACGGCTCTGGTGAGGTCTCTTGCTCTGGGGAAGCAGCAGCAGCAGCAGCAGCAGCAGCAACGGCGGCAGGAGGAGCAGGATTGGGATGTGAAGCGCGTGAAGCAGGGGCGAGGAGCCAAAGAAAAGGCATGCGGAGGGGGGCGCTGCACATAGTGGATTTTGGAGTGTACCTGGGCGGGCAGTGGTCGCTGCTGCTGCGCCGCCTTGCCTGCCTGCCTGGCGGCCCCCCTCGCTGCGTGCGCATCACAACCATCGATAACTGCTTCCGTGCCGGCCGAGCCGCCACTCCCCACGCACACGGGTGCCCAGGAGGGCGGGCAGCGGCAGGCGCAGGAGCAGGGCCAGGGGCAGGGGCAGGGGAAGCAGCGGCGTGCGGAGTGAATGGTTCCATGGGCAGTGGAGTAGGAGACGTGCAGGTGGAGGAGGTGGGGGGTGAGCAGCAGTGCTGGATGGCAGAGTGTGAGCAGCGGAAGCACGAGGAGCTGGGGAGGAAGCTCACAGCACAACTCACAGCAGAGGCGGCCGCGCTGGGCATAGAGAGGTTTGAGCACCGCGTTGTGACGATTAACAAGGATAACCTCGCTGATAGCCTCTCCCAGGTGGAGGGCCGGCGCAGATGGTGGGGAAGGGGGGGGCACGGTGGCAGTGGGACAAGGAGGACGGGTGGAGGGGTGCAGGAGTGGGGTGTGGAGGAGTGGCAAGGGGAGGGGTGCGAGGACGAAGAGGAGGAGGAAGAGGAGCAGGAGGTGGTGGCGGTGTGCTGTTGTTTGGAGCTGCAGTATTTCCACGACAGCTCTGTCATGCGTAGCAGCCCTCGAGATGCCGTCCTCAAGGTGCGCTGCTGATGTCTGCTGTCTGCTGCCGTTTGTACACTCTTTCTACCCTAGCAACCCACTGGCTCCACCTCAGGTGACCACCTCTTTCTGTGGTTCGGAACCTTCAAATAGTGGAGGTTGGCCACCTTTCAATGGTGGCAGCACATGTGCGGCACCGCGTAGCAGTCATCCCTTTCTGCCCTGCCTCTCTCTCTTCTCCCCGTCATCGCTTTCCGCGTCGCATCATCCGTGTTCTACAATGCTTCTCCAAAAGCAGGCCGTTCACCCTTACAAACAGCCACTTCCCCCCTCTCTCCTTCCCCTGTATGGATTTTCGTTGTGTTGTGTGCTGCCACTCCTGTGCTGCCCCTCCTGTTTTGCCCCTCCTGTGATGCCCCTCCGTCCCGCCAGTGGATAGCATCGCTTGCCCCGGACATCTTCACGTTCATGGAGTTTGACCTGTCGGCCAACGGCCCCTTCTTCCTCTCGCGCCTCCGCAACTGCCTCGACTACCACGCCGCGCTCTTTGAGTGCCATGAGCATCTCTCTGCAGCATGCCCTACCTCCAACCAAGCGCTCTGGCTAGGCACACTCCACCAGCAACCTCAGCAGCAAGTCGAAATGCCCTCTCGCCGCGACCACATCCTGGCGTTTGAGCGGGCCTTTTTCGGGTACAACATTGTGAACATGGTGGCCACAGAGGGCATGCAGCGCTCCGTGCGCCCGGAGAGCCTGGCGGAGTGGGCGCAGCGCATTCGGCACGCGGGGTTTGTGCCGCTGCCCGTGCCGGCAGACGTGCTGGAGGAGGCGTATGGCACCATCCGTAGCTGCCCCCCCGGGCTAGGCATGCTGACCACAGAGGGCGCCGTGCAGCTCACATGGCATGGCCGCCCGCTGCTCATGTGTACTCTCTGGCAAGTGCCCTGGATCATGGGTTGAGAGACCATGGCCCATCACTTGCCGTGCCACGCACGGTAGATTTTCCTCATTTCTATCCTTCCTTTTCCTTCCACCTGCCTCTTACCCTCCCCCTGCCCTTCCTGCTGTTCAACCTGTAACACATGTATGTAACCTCTTATGCAAGGTTTTACAGGAAAAATGGGTGTCTTCATATGACACTTCCGTCTGAACACACTGTGTTGACTCACTTTTGACTTGTTACCTCAGTGCTCTTGCCTACAGAATTGTGTAAATAAATTGTGTAATTCTGGAACATACCCTGCACTCATAACCATCATTAACCCTTTTCGAAGTGCACAAGGAACTTCGGTACACTAGAAGCACTTCATCTGAACTGCACAACCAGGGCTCCCACCCATACCCCGTATGCTGATATAACCAAGGAATCGTGGTGATTAGGATAAGTATTTTGTAGTGACGTTGTTTGGTAATAGTTGAGAAAGAACAAGATAATTATAAGATAGAAGTACAAGATAGCAAACTAGCTAGCCATGTACTTTGAGGGGTACATTCCCTGAAAAATTTTTCCCCCGTCTTATGCTCGGACGACGAAACTTCCGTGGTCTGCATTATAAGCTGGAATAATTTTTCTAGTCTGACAAATAAGACGAAAAAAAACTCATGTTAAAAGTCAACCTACTGTAATCCTACCAGCAAATCTAGTCATAGTACCAAACTGTCAAATGTTGTAGCCTATAGTGAGGTTTGTCTTAGGGGGTACAAAACTTAGGGTTAGCTATATGTACCCCAACCAACATCAATGCATCATCCATTCTTCATTTTGACATGGTATCAGTTAGGTTAGGATCCTGTGGGATCCCGTTCCTCCGTTCTCCGTTCGAGCCTCCCGAGCCTGATCCTAGCTCTCATTCGTCCCGGTTCCGTTGTTACCGCGCGTAGTGCCGCGCCTAGCGCCACTCCTAGCGTCGCGTCCTGCCCGCCCTTTCCCCCTCGTCGCGTCCCTTTCCCCCCGTCGCGTCGCGCCCTTTCCCCCCAGTCGAGTCGCGCCCTTTCCCCCCGTCGCGTCGCGCCCTTTCCCCCTCGTCGCGTCCCTTTCCCCCCGTCGCGTCGCGCCCTTTCCCCCCGTCACGTCGCCCTGCCCCGTCCCGTCGCCCTGCCCCGTCGCGTCGCCCTGCCCCGTCGCGTCGCCCTGCCCCGTCGCGTCGCCCTTCCCCGTCCCGTCGCCCTGCCCCGTCGCGTCGCCCTGCCCCGTCGCGTCGCCCTTCCCCGTCCCGTCGCCCTGCCCCGTCGCGTCGCCCTGCCCCGTCGCGTCGCCCTGCCCCGTCGCATCGCGCCCGCCCTTTCCCCCGTCCCGTCGACCCTACGCCCTGGCCCGTCGCCCTAGCCCGTTCTTCCGCTGCGACTAAGTCCCCCCCCCCCCCCCACCTGAACCCTAATTTGCCTCTTACCTCCTACTGTTACTCGCCTGCTCGTTCGCGTTAGTTCTCGCTATGGCGACTCCGCGAGTTCTTCGTTTCGACGCTGACGGTAGACCTCTTGACTTTTCCGTCTGGCTTCTTCGCGCTCGCCGTCTGTTAGAGAGTCAAGTCCAGGGGGGCGAGACCCTCTGGTCGCACGCTACTGGTGACCTCCCCGAGCCCCCCGAGCCTGCCGCTTTAGGTCCTGCCCCTGACGATGCTGCTACGGCTCGCTTTGCCCGTCAGCGCGCTGACAGGACGGCTTGGACGTCGCGTGACGCTGCGGCCTGCATCGCACTCAGCAGCCTCCTCCCTGAGTCAGAGGAGGTCCACTT